CTTTCGGATTCGTAATCTACGCATCAAAATACGTAAGTACAGTCAAAAATTTTTTCAAAATCGCCGGGTGTCCGCATAACGAAAATTTACCCAGAAATGACCTCAAAGATGACCAAATCTAAGCCCATAGACGCTTCTGTGTAAGCCTAGTGTATTGTCACCACGCGTTTGTCAAGAGAAAACTGAAAAAAGAAATGGTCTCCAAAATCGCCAGACCTATTGCCCATAGATTTTTCTGAGGAAATAGAGAAAGTATACATTGAAAATCAAACTCATCATACTCACTAATATGTGTTTATAGGAGACACTGTAATCGGTGTAGGCGCAAAGCAGGTCAATTGGTAGAAAATTTGTAGTCCTCATTTTCGACGCTAACAACAAGCAGGTAGCTCCAAGAAGTTGCAGCTGTTGCTTCTTGATAACGCACACGCAGAGGAATCTGTCCATGATGTTGACCGCCAACGGAAGGACTTGGTCTTCGCACATTTGTTCTTCACAAACCTGTCGATAATACATCGAAATCAAAACACAAAAAACGAGTTCAGATTCTCACATATGTTGATAGGACGTGTTTGAAAGTATTGATAAAAATAATGTCAATTATTCGTACTAAGAATCGCAGTTTAAAGGATAAGACCTCGTTAATTCTTATGAAAACTTTGTATGCGAAATATTTATAGAATATGTTAAATATGTAGGGAAATCAATCTAAAACCCCAGAAAATAGAAATGTTTTTGTTAAACTATGCTAAAGCACATCTCATTCCATTGCAATAATGTCAACAAACATACTTTTTATATTAATTTCGAACCTTCCATATTCACTTTACATTTTAAACAGATTAAACTTGGTGCACTAGGGATATAACACTTGAGAGCAGATAATATTGTTTGTGTCGCTAATTATTGTTTGGTCAAATGAATCCTATAGCGCTCCATCCAATCCAATGACAGACAGATGTGGAGTAATGTGTGTGTCCACCGTGCCTGACACCCTCTACAAATATAGCACGTAGGGCTTCGATTAGGCCCTCGAAGCAGCTGGAGATGACGGAGTAGATAAATTGCGATGCCGTGTTGTTTTTTCGATACCGATAAACACCGAGGGAGTGCGTTTGGGAAAAAATATATATATAATCGCGAGCTACCCGATTTGACGAGAAAAACTTCACGTTATAGTTTTCCAGGCCGTCTGAGGGGGTGAAAATGGGGTGGAATCTTGAAAAAAT